CATTTTCTCCAATAACTGGAATGTTTTGTATCATTTTGGGTATTATAGACTGTGCTTTATAATATTTCTGTATTTTACGCCGCGGCCGGGTCCAGTCCTACAAGCCGCTATTGGCTTTTGACGGACCCGCATTCACATGTATTGAATTGAAAGCTGCAATAAAATGATTGATTGATTAATGATGATGATGATAATGATGATTATGATGGTGGTGGTGATGATGATGATGATGTTTGGCGCTCCGAGCGCTTCACTTGCACGGGGATAGATGGCTCCCAAGTATGGGGTCCCTCCCAAACCTACGCCTCGTGTACTAAGATGCCTGTCATAAGAGCGGCGCGCGCGTTCTGCCGTGCCCTCTCCCTCTTTGCCCCTCCCCTTCACCGAAACGACCGAGGGGTGCGCTGTCAACCAACACTATCGCGGCCGCCACAGCGCGGGAAGTTTGACGCCTGCTATTGTGATACCAGTAGAGGTGTGCGGATAGTGGTTCGAATCCAATAGCGCCGTGTCATCTCTAGCGTCGATAGCGCAAAGAGAGCCGGTTGCATCGGCTTTCTTTTGCACCGCAAAGGCTTTGAATGACGTTGGGCTATACAGGGGGAACAGCGCACCCGCAAAACAGCACACAAAAGAAAGACACACCTGCGCAGCGGTGACTAACACCTTTTTGGTATATTTGCACTTTCGTCTTCGTCTTCTTTTCGTATTATGGACTAGGGCCATGAAAAATAATTTGGTATTTTTCTTCAATAGGATGCTAAACAGTAAACCAAAAACTAAAATTGAAATCAATGTTAAATTAAATAAAATTGGCGCTCAGTTTCGAGCGGCCGACCGCGCCAGCCGCACAGAGATGGCCGAGCGCCTAGCGCGAGTTTATGATGATGATGATGATGTTGTAGCTTTGAATCGGGCGGTTCCGGACCATGCTCGTACCTAGCCAAAATGATGATGATGATAATGATGATCTTGCAGCTGTTCCCTTTTAATCGGGCGGTTCCGAACCATGTTCGTACCTAGCCAAAAAAAAATATATTAAACGAAAAAAGTACTTATTCCTTTTACTTTCTCCTTGTCCTTCGCGTTCATTTTGCTTTTTTCCTTCGCCACCAGTCCTCCAGTCTCCTTTTCGTTCTTTCGGTTACTTCCCAGCTCCGTTCAAACGGCTTCGTGGACGCTGCGGCGCGCGTTTCAACCTCACTTTGAGGGATAGCAGCAGCATCTGTCTAGAAACGCGTTCAGCACCGACCCCGTCGCAGGTGACTGGAATCGGAGTGCTACCGCCAGAAATTGCTCGTGGAAGGGCCTGGCCAGGTGTCTGTACGTTTTCAGGAGCGTGGTACCACTGCACCGGATGCCTTGGGTGCAGGCTTGTGTATGAGAGGACGATGTGTTCGATGGTTTCATCCTCCTCTCCACAAGCCCGTCATGTTGTTGTTTCCACCATCCGATTATATTTCTGTTGGTACACTAGCGTTCTCAGCCCTCCTGCACGTGCCTCAAAAAGCAAGCGGCTGCCCATGTATTTATCGCATAACTGATCCTCCGCTGATACTGTATTTTTGCTGAGGTTGTACACCCGCAGCGTTGACTTGCTCTGGGCCGCCTCTGCCCACTGTAGGGCCTCCTTCTCACGCTCTCTCTTCCGCACCTCCGTTTTCCACTTTGTGTCTGTATAGGCACTCACGGGCACTGCGAAGAAACCAAAACTTTTTTTTCCAGTTTATATAGCCGCTTTTTCTATAGTATCGGATGCGAGCGCCACCGCGTGGCGTTTGGCTACAACACGATGGCAAGCAGGCCGCAATGGGAGAGCGAGTTATCTGACAGGTATCTTAGCACAGGAGGCGTTGCCCAAACCGACCGCTCCGGTTGTTTCTCCCAGCGGTGGTCCCCCATTCCCTCGCTCAACGTTTCTTGTGGTACCCACGGTGGAAGAAACACATTTAAGGGATGGCCCTCTGTCCGATGCGGTGGCAACATTATGTTCGGCATACCGAACGCGTTTCGCTCGCACGGGGATAGGTGGCGCCCAAGTATGGGATCACTCCCATAGTTGGTGGTGATCGGTGGAATAAGATCCATCTCAGGGGGCATTAAGATTTCCTCGCTCCCAGGCTTGGGCACGAACTCAGTTCGCGCTCGCCTGTTTCAAAGGGAACAAGCCGCATCCTCATCATCATCATCATCATCAACTCCCAAACCGACCGCTCCGGTTGTTTCTCCCAGCGGTGGTCCCGCATTCCCTCGCTCACCGCTTCTTGTGTATCTGCTCGATCATGTTAAAAAAAAACCGAGCTGACGCTTTTACTGTACTGGCTACATTTATAATATTCAACGGGTAACAATGTCGCCCTATGATCGAAACTCCTGTTATCTGATGAACTAACGAACTAACGACACGCCCAACGGCTGACGACGGGTCGAACAACGGGAGGCGAGTCGAGGTGAGTGAGTGGGGTACTGCTCGTGCAAGCAGCGTCTATGAGCAGTTCCATAACTGAGCTTATCTAATAACGTTGGCAGGGACCCAACGTGAACGTAGGCAACGCGGTTCTCGCAGGCGGTACGGCGGTAGCAGCAGACGATGGACCGGCGACCCTCACTGCTCCCATAATGCCTCACGCGCGCCGCTTGAGGGCGCGTGCTGTTTTCCAGAAAGCTCCAAGCCAGGAAGCAAACATTGAAACAAATCGGCAGGAAAACAAAACAACAATATTAACCATGTGATTATGTTATAAGAGCAGAGTTACATTTCGAACGGAACTGAATTGGATGCATGAGATCACTATGGAGTATGCCATTTGTAACGCTCGAGATATGTGAACGGAGGCTCGAAGCCGGCTTCCTGCGGGCCGCACCCAAGCAAGTCGCGGGCCGCGTGTGGCCCGCGGACCGGGCGTTTGAGATCCCTGGCTTATAGTGTCCTGCGTCAGAACTTTTGCATAGTGTCATATCACTAGTTCTACAATTCTCATTAGTGTTCTGCCCTCTGTGAATGCGGTGCGCAAGTTCGTCTGCTTTTTTTTTTTGCAAGGGCTGTGATGACGTCAGAACGCCGAGCACTGATTGGTTCGGAATGAAGGATAGTGGCTAGACATCGAGGCACTTTACTTTGAGGTCCACCCATTATCCTTTAATGAAAGCCAATCAAAGCTCGGCGTCTTTCTGATGTCACCGCAACTCCTGCAAAAGAAGCAGACGACTTACTCTCCGCATAACCTAAACTTCATCTGCACTTTTATTTATGCCCGATGTGTTTTTTTGGTTCGCAATTATTTTATAATGTCATAATTAACTAAATAGTGAATTTCATAATAAAATGCTTTTATTAAACCACTTCAATCATTTTTAACTCTAACTTGAATTTTTGGGAGCGAAGCTCCTTAGGGTCTAGCCTTGGCCGTTCGTCCGTCCGGCCGGGCGGCCGGCGTCCGTGCTCACATAAAAAGAAAAAAAAAAAATGGTGGCGCAGTCGACAGGATTCGAACTTGTGAGGGGAGACCTTACTAGATTTCCAGTCCATCGCCTTAACCACTCGGCCACGACTGCGGGACAAGTAGGGGGCTCTGAGATGTGGTAGTAACTCAAGAGCTGGGGTTTCTGTCATGGATGAAACGTTGCATGTAGCCGCTCTATACAGGAGAGGGCGCTGCGGTCGAATGCGTATATAATCGCGTTAAACTTTGCATGCATTGGCTCAACGTTTATAGACGAGAGGGCGCTGCGGTCAAATGCTCAAATGCGTATATAACCACGTGCCATACCATATATTCTCTTTCTGACATGAACCGTTGACTTAAGCGGAGGAGATTCGTTCCCACAACTTCTAGCGGATCCAAGCTGATCCGCTAGAAGAACCACTGGCTCTGCATTTCACCGACCACAAAGCAGTAATAATGAAGTCGAAACGCAACCCGGAACTCAGCACTAATTATGAGCAGTAAAAAAAAAAGTCAGCACTGTCAGCATTACCCATGAACAATAAAATCAGTATCATCAGCACCACCAGAGCTTCGCCCCAATCAACATCATTCACCACGTGGAGATGCGGTCATTTTTGTTTAAACCCCTCCATTTATTTTCCGACTTTCGAAAGTGCGACAGATTGAAAATCCGACCCATGAGCCAAAAAGATTTAGAAGACCCCTGTTTTATAACATGAGATATCAGCGAAATTTTTTAGAGCGCAGCTCTTAGGCGCCCGTCTCCGGCTTGAGCGGCGTCGCCGTCGGCGTAACCGCTCGGTGCATTATGGGTAAATTTCCCCGCAAAATCTGGCGGAAAAATAAACGTGGCCCTCAGTAACCTTCCCTCCTCCTCCTCAAGAGCTGCGCTCCAATTCGGCGTTACAGGGAGTGGTAAACGGCTTTCACTTTTTTCTCTTCAAGTTGGACCTAAAAGAAGAAAAAGAAAACACCGTCTGCGCTGTGATAATGAGCATGACGTTTGAACGTGCTTAGTGCCATTTCAATAACACTGAGCACAGTTAAAAAAAAAAAAAAAGAAAGACAGAGCATGAGTAATTTCTTTTTTTATAAAATAATATTTTCTGTCTTTGTCCGTTCGCCGAGTTTTCTTCTTATATTGTAGCGGTTGGCTCTCTCATTGCTGTGTAGAAAAATAAGCGCTCCAGATTTTTTATAGTTTGTCTTTGCAAGACGAAAAAAAATTTACCCACACCGCGCCGCTAGCCACAGATATGAATGCTATAGATACGGATAGAGGACAATGGACAAACAAGGAATAGAGCGGTAAGATAGAAGTTTATGGATGACATTCGAGACAGCAGACGTTTATCTCGAAGGCAAAAACAAATGGGTGGAGGGCAACACGAGTTCACGGATAACACGAGGCGACTCTAAGGAGTTTCAGAGAGATAAATAACCGGCAGCTGTCTCTCGTGTCCTCACGAATCAGTCAGTTACAGCTAGGGACATAGAGGAAGAGTAGCACAAAGAAATTTTGCGTCGAACAGGAAGAAAAGGTCTCGCGACATGGCGTCCGGTTTCGTGGAGTCCCTTGTCGAGGCGGCCGTGGAGAGCAGGAAGTCTGAACTGCACGCCCTGAGCGACTACCTCTGGCAGAACCCCGAGCTGGCTCTGGAAGAATTCAAGGCCCACGAGAGGCTCACGGAGTTCCTCGAAGCCCAGGGCTTCAGGGTGCAGCGGCACTGGCTTCTGGACACCGCTTTCCGCGCAGAGTTCGACAACACCGAAGGCGCTCAAGGTACGGCTAGATGCTCAAGGTTAAGTGGCGCAAGCTACCGCCCAATATAACGGATACAGCCACTAGCATCCATCAATTCACTCATCTATACGAGAAAGATAAGAGATGTCGATACACCTCCCGCGTCATTACGAAGGGGCTGTCAGCGAGGCTGCTTAGTCGAGCTTTGGCCAATTAACTGCGCGAATTAATCTGTGTCACCTAGAGCTGCTAAATTAGCTACGCTTAGAATATCGGAACTCTTTTCCCAGACCTGCTAGTGGACGCCGCCATCTTGGTGTAGAGTAGAGCAGACGCAACTGTCGATCATCACAATTCAAAAATGCGACTTCCTCAGCTTAGGACACGGTGGTAGGAAGCTTAGGTGATATCGTTTTGCTGTGTCGCGAACTGTTCTAACACTTCTGAAGGACAAAAAAAAAAGTTTTCTGCGATCTTAGATAAAGCTTCAGATAACTGTCAACCATGATTTTAAGCACCAAGACGGCTTAAGTGTCGGTACTCTGAAGCATAAAGTTTATTTAGTAGCTCTACTGTCATTCATAAAACGAAGAACAGAACACCATTTTTTCTTGCGCTCGCTAGTTTTTATGTGAAAAAAAAAAAAATGAACGACGTTTACAAATCTCTGTAATGTGAAATTAGAGCGCAGCTCTTGAGTAGGAGGAGGGGAGGGTGCAAAGAGGAGGGTATGCCCCTTCTCCTCCTCCGTACCCTCCCGTCCTCCCCTTATTGTCTACCCCTCTTTCCTCCTCCTGTTTCTCCTCCCCGCCTCCTACTCATTTCCTCCTCCTCCCCTCTTCCTCCTCCCACAGTTTCCCCACTAAATTTAGCTGGAAAATTGACGCCACGTGACCTCAACACTAATTCAGCTTCCCCGTTAAATTTAGCGGGGAAAATGACGTCACATGACTTCGTGTCACCTCACGCATGAACAGATTCAGTTTCTGTTTTAGCCTCAAGGGAAGTACTCAGTTCTGCAGCTTGCATGTTTATTCGATGATGCCAAGAATACAACAACCCCGTAGGCACACTCATGGCTGCTTTTATACTGATAGCAGCCGCGCTATCTATAGGTTAAAGAGTGACGTCACAGTTAACCGACACATGACATTAGATTCGGACATGATGACACAACATTCCTTCCCCTTTAGAAAGTTTGTGGAGTCTACGGCTTGTAGCGCTCTGGGGGTCGGCTTGGCCGTGTGCTGCGCCGAGGCAAGAGTGGAGAAGCCGGCGGAGCTTCCAGTCTGGAGGCCCGGTTGTCCGATGGTGGGGCATTGGGACCAACAGTCACAGCACTGGGCATGCTGCGGCCTGGGTCAGGTGCCCGTGGTGTCGCGGCTCCGTTCTCTGCTTGTGCCGGGTCATGGTCGTCAGGTGATTCATTGTCAGTTGTAGCCGTATCGGTCTCGATGTCCGAAAACTGCTCCAGTCGGTTAGGTGTCCTCAGGTCAGCCTGAAATGATCTTGGCCGCAGGTTGTCAGCATGAATGTACCGCTCTTCCCCCCCCAACCCAAACCAGATACGTAGCTGGGCTCACACGCTTGCTTATTGTGCCCGTCAGCCATTTGGAATCTCCGGCCCGTAAGCCTTTTATTATAACTTGGTCACCCTCAGTGAACTCTCTCCAGGGCCCCCGGTGCTGGTCTGCGTATTCTTTGGTTCGCTCGAGTCTCTTTTTCATTCGTTGCTCTATGTCGGGGTGCAGCAGACTCAGTCTTGTTCTGGGCCTCCAGGACAGGAACAGCTGGGCCGGAGTTTCATCGGTTGTCCCGGTGGGTGTGTTCCTGTAACTAAATAGGAACTGATCGACGCGATGTTGCAGAGACTTCGCATGGCCGCTTCTCTGCTCGTCCAGCACTTGTTTAAACAAAGCCTTTTTCACGGTTTGTACGCAGCGTTCCGCGCTGCCATTGGAGGCGGGATGGTAGGGCGGAGACTTGCTGTGTAGGACGCCATTCCTACTCAAAAAGAGTTCGAAATCTGCTGATGTGAATTGAGGCCCATTATCGGTCACTACCTCTTCCGGTAGCCCGTATGCCGCAAACACACTGCGCAGTTTTTCCACGGTCTTCTCACTACTAGTACTGTTCATCACAAACACTTCAATCCATTTAGAATGGGCGTCCACCAGCACAAGAAACCATTGCTGATCGCGATACGCATAGTCTATATGCACTCTCTCCCATCTACGCTTAGGCCAACCCCACGACAACAAGGGTACCTTGGGCGCAGCATTTTGCGACAGCTGACACGTGACGCACTGTTTCACTGTTTGCTCTACATCTTGTGTTAGACGAGGCCACCAAACGTGGCACCTGGACAACATTTTCATTCGCGTCATCCCCGGATGACCTTCGTGCAGCATCGTCAAGACGCTACTTCTGAGTGACAACGGAACCACTACGCGATTACCCCAAGTTACACAATCTTGATCGACTGACAGTTCGTTACGTCGAACATAGTAAGGCGCTAGCAAATCGTCTGTAACTTTCGAAGGCCAGCCGTTTTGTGTGTAGAACAGCACTTTCGACAACAACTGATCCCTTCGCGTTTCCCGTCTTATCTCTTTTGCAGATAGTGGAGCTTCGTCTAGCGCCGAAAAGAACTGCACGCACTCTGACTCATCTTTGTTTGGCAGCGGTAGCCGTGAAAGCGCGTCGGCATTTCCTATATCACTGGATTTTCGATACACCCAAACATAGTTATAAGCGGCAAGCAGCAAAGCCCAGCGCTGCACGCGTGCTGCTGACATTGCAGGAATCGGCTTACCATGTCCCAGAATTCCCACCAGTGGTTGATGGTCAGAGTAGATGCAAAATTTTCGGCCGAAGAGGAACTTGTGAAATTTTTTTAAACCAAAAACCACTGCAAGCGCCTCTTTTTCAATGTGCGCGTAGCCTTGCTCCGCCTTGCAGAGCGTCCTAGACGCGAAAGCGATGGGCCTCTCCTCAGTACCAACTTTATGAAAGAGTATCGCGCCGACGCCGTATGCCGACGCGTCACATACAAGACCGAGGTCCTTTTCGGGATCGTAGTAAGTCAACACTCGTTCGTGCGTTAGCCACCGTTTTGTTTCTTGAAACACTTTTTCCTCCACTACGGTCCAATCCCAACTGGTGCTGTCACTTAGTAACTGGTGAAGTGGCTTCAGCTCTGCTGACATGTTCGGAACAAATTTCCCGTAGAAATTTAGCAGCCCCAGGTACGCTCGCAGCTCTTGTTTGTTCTGGGGTTTTGGCGCCTCTTTGATTGCGCGTAGGTTTTCCTCGGAAGGCCGAATCCCATGTTTATCAATTACGTGGCCCAAGTAAGCCACCGACGTCTGAAGAAACTTGCATTTTTCTTTTTTTACTTTGATACCGCGCTCCTTGAACCTTGTCAGCACGCTTTCCACTTTTCGATAACATTCTTCCGAAGTTTCTCCGGCTATCAACACATCATCAAGATAGCATGATACTCTGTCAAGGCCCTTCAATATTTCGTCCATTACAGCCTGAAAAATAGACGGTGCACTCGTGATGCCGTATGGAAGGCGTGTATACTTAAACAAGCCCATATGCGTGTTTACAGTTACAAGAGACTGCGAATCCGGGTGCAGTTGCAGCTGCTGGTACGCTGTAGAAAGATCAAGTACCGTGAAATATTTGCACCCGTGTAGCGTTGCAAACACGTCTTCCATTACCGGCAAGGGATAGTGGTCTGTTCTGAGATTCGGGTTCAGCGTCACTTTATAGTCGCCGCACAACCTCACTTTGTTGTTCGGCTTAGGGACAACGACCAACGGTGTTGCCCACTCACTCTGCTGAACAGGGACCAGGACTCCCGTTTTCACGAGCGCATGCAACTCTTGTTCTACTGACTCCCTTAAAGCGAATGGTACAGTTCTATGTTTACAAAAGACTGGGGTCGTGTCGTCCTTCAATACTAATTTAACTTGACTGCCCGCGATTAATCCCAGCTCAGGCTCAAACACCTCCGAGAATCGGTGAACCAGCCCTGCCACTTGGTCTAGACTAACCCCATACACGCTCATCCAGTCTAGCCTCAACGCTTCTAGCCAATCGCGGCCCATTAACACAGTCTCGCATTTCTGCGGCGTGCGAACCACTACAAGCGACAACGTCATGGTCTGCCCATTGTGCTCCACAGGTACAATCAACTTGCCTAATACCTCCAAAGGCACGCCCCCATAAGTTTTCAACTTTAGGCGGCAGTTTGAGAGAGACAATCCAGGCCAGTACTGCTTATACACCTCTTCAGGCACAATGGAAACCGAGGCTCCCGTATCAACTTGCATTGTCACCATTGTTCCCGCCACTCGAACTTCAGTAGTGTAACCCCCTTTTCTAGCACTGCAGGAGCCAATGTTGTACAGCCAAACTTTTTCCTCACCACTACTGTCGTCCACGGCTTGCACCAAACGGGACGTTGCTTTGCAGGCCCTTGTCAAGTGTCCCACTCGTCTACACGCTCGGCACTTGTACTTCCGAAACGGGCAACTTGACTCGTGATGGGGTGCTCCGCAGCGGAAACAGCCTGACGCCTCGGGCCTCTCAGTGTTGACTTCCATCGTCGCCTTCCTGGTAGCCGCTCCGACGTTCCTGTTTGGGCCTAGACGTTGGACGGCGTTCACCTCTAGTTGTTCAGAGGCTGCTGGCTGAAATATCTTGGTCTCTGCTCGTGCGAGTTCAATGCTTCTGGCAATGTCGCATGCCGCCGAAAAAGTTAGAGTTTTCTTTTTTAGAAGCTCTGCTTGGGCTGCCTGGTCCTTTAGCCCCGCGACAAAACGGTCCCGGAGTGCTTCATCCAGGAACTGCCCGAACTCGCAGGTGGCCGCGAGCCTTTTTAACTCAACCGTGTATGTCGCCACCGTTTCCTTCTCGAGCTGGGCCCTCCGGTTGAATCTGAATCGCTCGGCGATTACCATCGGCTTCGGAGCGTAATGCTCCCTGAGGACCGCGACCAGATGCGCATAGTCCTTTTGTTCTGGCTTCACTGGTGTTAACAGCGTCTTCAACGTGCGGTACGCTTGCTTCCCGATGGCCGTTACGAAGACCGAGACTTTCAAGTCGTCGCTCACCTTCGTTGCTCGAAGATAGTGTTCCATCCGCTCGACGTACGACTCGAAGTCTTCCTCCCCATCTTCTATGAACTGCTCGAACCGGCCGCCGCACGAAGCCATCCCGTGGTCCTCGGTCAAGGCGCTTGGGTTTTTGCCGATGACAGTGCTGGCTTCTGTCTTCTCGGCTATCTCATACTCGTCGCCACTGTTTTAGCCTCAAGGGAAGTACTCAGTTCTGCAGCTTGCATGTTTATTCGATGATGCCAAGAATACAACAACCCCGTAGGCACACTCATGGCTGCTTTTATACTGATAGCAGCCGCGCTATCTATAGGTTAAAGAGTGACGTCACAGTTAACCGACACATGACATTAGATTCGGACATGATGACACAACAGTTTCTCTGCTAGATTTAGCGGGATAATTTAGCGGGGAAACGTAACCTGCTACATTTAGCGGGGAAATTTAACGGCAGGAGGAGGAAAGGAGAAGGGGGGAAGAGGACGAGGAGGAGAGAAAGAGGAAAGGAGGAGGGGAGAAGGAGGGACATACCCTCCGCTCTGTACCTTCCCCTCGCCCTCCTCAAGAGATGCGTTCTAGTTTCTCATTACAGAGAGTTGTAAACGTACTTCATAGAGCGTACCTCTTAGGCACCCGTTGTCGGGTTGAGCGGCATCGGTGTCGCCGTCGACGTCGGCGTAACCGCGCTGAATTTAGTGAGAAAATTGACATCACGTGACCTCAACACCAGTTCCATTCCCCGCTAAATTTAGCGGGGAATTGAATTGGTGTTGTGGTCACGTAAAGTCAATTTTCCCGCTAAATCGAGCAGAGAAACTGAATTTGTTTACGGTGACGTGACACCAAGTCATGTGACGTCATTTTCCCCGCTAAATTTTTTGGGGAAACTGAATTAGAGGATGGGGGAGAGGAGGGTATGAAGGAGAAGTAAGTGCCCTGACCCACGTTTGGCCTCCTCATGGGACGTCGAATACCCGGCCTATATGGCCTTGTCACGTAGGAGGAGTTGATGGTATAATACCGCCCGAGTTGAGAGCGAGATGTGCGCGGGCAGGTCCAACGGTGGCCTTCTTGTGCGAGTACGACGCCCTCCCGGAGATCGGACATGCCTGCGGACACAACCTGATCGCCGAGAGCTCGGTGGCAGCCGCCGTCGCCGTCAGGGAGGTCCTCCTCAAAAGTCCACACATCCGTGGCAAGGTCTGTGACACTACCAGTTGGCCAACAATTCGAAGAAGAATAAAAAAAAAATAAAAGACGTTTCCGACACCCTGTAACGCCGAATTAGAGCGCAGCTCTTGAGGAGGAGGGAAGGGTACTGAGGGGAGGGCATAACCCTCCTCCCTCCACTTCATTGTCCCTGATGCTCCTCCTCCATCATTTCCTCCCTCCTCTCCTCCTTGTCATCCCTCCTCCCTTCCTCCTTCCTCTCCTCCCCTCCTCCACCCCCTCCCCCTCGTCGTCGTCCTCCTCCCCTCCTCCTCTCCTCCCCCTCGTCCTCCTCCCCGCGCGGTGCATTATGGGACATTTCCCATAATGCACCGCGCGGTTACGCCGACGGCGACGCCGCTCAAGCCGGAAACGGACGCCTAAGTGCTGCGCTCTTAAAAAAGAAACACAAAACGAAAAGTGGAAGTTATCTAATACTCCCTATAGTATACACCAACACAATGTTTCCGAACAAAGCCCGCTTTGCCCACACCAGGGTAGCTAAACTCGTGGAGCAAAACATTCTTCGCTTTTTGACGTAGCGGGGGGAGTGACCAAAAGAACGCCGCAAAGTTTCCTCCTCCCTGCGCGCGCTCAACTTCGCAACTTTTGACGAAAAATCCCCCGCGATCCCTAGGCGATGCACGAGAGCACGAGACAGCGCGGGGAGGCGAGCGTTCACGCCGCTCGCTGTACGTCGTCTTTGGGCTCTCTAGCGCCGACAATCCCGTCATGCCTCGCCCAGGCGAAGAGCGAGAGCAGACGACGAGAGTTCGTCTGCTACGATGAGGCATTCGCACAGCGGAACTGAAAGAAAAAGTTGGTCTTCTGCTTGAAATCGCGTCCCGCGGGCCACAAACTCAAACGCGAGCTTGAATTGTAAGCGTCTGATATTTCACGAAGGGAGGAATCGACGGCCCGTCTTTTATTCGCGAAATTTGAGTCGTTTTGTTGCCGTACAGACGCTGAAACCTACCAGTGTGCAATGAAAGCCCCAGAACAACCACAGGGGCCGCGAGATCTAGCATCATTTGTGTATGGGTGAAAAGTGCAACATTTTTCGACAAAGCTCCCACAGCAGAAACCTGCGACGCATTTACTCAGCGTCCGGGAAGGCTAAACATGGAGACGTTGCCCGAGACTCAAGCAAAGTCATATATGAATGGCAGCTATCTCGCCCCGTCATATTTTGTTGTGAGAAAGCTCTCGTTCTCAATGCCAGGGAAATAAAAAGTCTTGCGAAACGTATTGCTAGCTGTTCCAAAAAACTAGATTTAAGCCGTATCCTTTCAGTTATTCACTCATAATATTATGCTTAAAACGAAGGAAGCTCTTGCGCGTACAGTGCCATCAATTTCCTCAAGCGTATGCTGTTTTGTAGTCAACTGGTTTCGGAAACTTACGCCGTCTGTAGATATCTCTGACTGCCGAGTTGCTTAAGTGGAAGTCATCGCAAATGTAAGTTCCACGTTGCAGCAACCAACGTTTAAACGATGGCAGCGACTGCACTCTCGCATTCCCACCCATCACGTCGAACAAAAAAGGCGCTAGGTTCGGTTTGAGGTCGGTACTTTTCTACAACATCTATGGCGACAGCATCAGGATCTGCACTGGGTGCATTTGGCAAGCTCGTTCGGGGCCTGTTCTCCGTGCAGCACTCGGTGGGTGTAATGCATTAGAACCCTCACATTGCAAGCCTGTATCGCGAATTGGGAGCCCGTCACTGGCCTCACCGGCGGCCATTGCTTGACGACAGGCAATATGCCGCGTCCTGTCTAGTTCTTCCTTCATTTTCGTCCTTGTTGCTTTGGCCTTTTACATCATGAGGCAATACACGCAAGTCTAAGGAAGAAACATGCAGAAATTGGAAGCTTGTAGGCGGTGCTCGAGGGCGAGCATTTTATGATGTGCTGCGATGATTATGTCGGGTTCTTGGAGATCAAATAGACATTCGTCAAGCGTTTGAACATCGATTTAAAAAAAATTGGCCGGAGCACGATTGACTTTACCGACGTCGCTTGCTTCGGTTGCTAAATAAATGGCACGTCGAGCGACTGAACGGCACGCTCCGAGTTTCAGTTTGTCACGGAAGACCTCACAGCAGTTCAAAGAAAAAGCTTTCACCATGAAGCACTATGTACAAGCGGTCAAAACGATGCGAAAATCCCTAGCAAAGGCATTCTAACTTATCGTTTGCTGAGCTTTGATGACTCCGAAATCATGGATGACTCCACAATAACTCTCAGTAGCCCTTGTCTCATTAAACACATAACAGTTAACGCCCAACAAAGTAGCCCTGGACCCTCAACCACACAACATTTAGTTAAACAAGATTGGTATTCTAACGCGTGATGATAGAAGTTTCATGGTAGAGAACAATTTACTAACGTAATAAAATTGAGTTGTGTCAAGCGATGACTGCCGGTGGTGCCGCTCGACCCCAGCAATACAGGCCTCTATCCACGATCTAGCCTCCTAAGAAATCAGTGGTGCCAGTGCTATTAGACATAAATCGTTCATTTGCATCGGTACTCCCATACCTGCCGGATGTAGGGACGAGGCGCAAAACCGTACATCCGGCCAATATTGAAGCCGGTTTTCGGACGATATTAGGGAGTTTTCGTAGATCGTTTTCGCCGTCCCGCAAGGGCCCTCCGCAACCCGCTACGATAGCGGGAACTCCACAGTCAAGGCTATCGGCGCGCAGGCGCAGTAGCAACTTCTTCGTTGCGGAACGCTTAGCGGAGAGGGCAGACCGGTCTACGAAAATTCCCTATTGCCTCGACACTCGCCAAGAAGCAACGTGCTATTTCGGCAACTCGTTTGTGTAATTTATTTGTTCAGTCATATTAATGGGTCCCGGGCCACTGTGTACACCCCAAAAAAGAAATGTACTGTGGTAATTACACCTTGAGGAGAAGCAGGCACGTAGCCAGATTTTCGTTTAAGGGGGGGGGGGGGGGGGGGGCGCCGATGACAAAGTGCTTTATGAGGGGGAGGGAGGGGAGGAGGCCCCAGCAAAATGGAAAATTTCGGGGGGGGGGGGGGGGGCGGGAAGGCCAGGCCTTATGCCGCCCCCCCCCCCCCCTCCCCTTAGCTGCGTGCCTGACGAGAAGGGGTATTGTAGTTTTACATCTTTATAAAAAGGTGTAGGCATTATCATACGTTTTAAGAAACGTGTTTAAAAAATCACACATTTTTAAAGGTGTGAAGTTTACATTTCTTTTATAAGGTCCATCGCTACACGTATTGGGGTGTTAGTTATAGGACACTTACATGTTTAAAGGTGGGAAAATGCTTAATGTGTATATACCTCTAACGGTAGACAATCTCTTTCATGTGATTGCATCGCGTGCCGATGAAACGATCTGTCGATGACACGTCGTTCGATGAACTGATTTGACCGCCAATGAGAGACGACTGCCAGTAGAATTTCGGGGAAATAATTCTGCCGGCTGCCGGGAGACTCGACCCTACCCAAGAATTACCCCGGTTCTTGTTTGTTTTCCAACATTCTGAATTGTATACCAGCTTATTAGTACCTCTTCGGATATTACAGAAAAAATAAAATAAAAGAAAGCGATGGCAGCCGCAAAAACTCTGACAGCCCGGTTCACAGTCATGAGGGAGACTGACAGGTGCTCGTCAGTCGCCACGATGCCTTGAAAGCTACCGGTTCCGAAGAACCGGAGCGCGCAGAGAACTCGTTCCACGGTCCGAGGCGGCGAACGAAGCTCGTCGCAGAGTCAACGCACAACGGCTTTCGATAGCCGGTACTGTCGCCGAAAGTCGTCGTCGGGGAGTTGAAAGGCGTCCCCAGTGGTCTCAGTAGCGACGCCGACGGTGGCGGAAGATAAGCTCGGCCGCAGCGTACGGCCCCGCCATGTTGACAAAGTTTAACTTCGCCTCGATCCGAAGCGAAGATCTCGAGCTCAAACCACGGCTCTCGCAAAGTTCGGAAACGTCACTTTGACGTCAGCGACAACTTCGACAAACGAGGTTTCTTTTTAACGCAAACTTCGGAGGGATTTTGAGCGTCAGCAGGTCGCCTAGGGACAATTTGCAAAGCATTAATTTTAGCTTGGCGTAGGGATGTAGGGACAAATGGGCGCTACGTCATCGGCGAAGCCGTTCAATCAGCGGGCTCCTCGCGGCCCTCATGCGCCGCACGCGCGCCTCGATGAACTTTGCTTCGAATGATTGACACCTCGCTCGGCGCGACGTCAGCGTCGCGAGAGTCCAATTAGCACGTTCCGCAACTTTCGGACACAAAGTTGTGCTTGACGAGTTTAGCGACCCTGGTGTGGGTGCACTGCGCGTGCGCGGAAACCAAACTCGGGGAAATTGAAGCGCTTGCGCATGCGCAGTACCGACAGCAGCGCCACCGCAGTGGCATGACGTCAGTGAGTTGAGTTGGTCTATGCGACCCGACGGAGCCAATCAGACAGCACAAATATGTGCATCGTCACGGCGCACGTCGTCTCTGTGCGTTTGATATCCCTGGCTGAACCAATCACGGGCAGTAAATGTCCCGTGAGTGCATGAGTTGTGTAGCCGGTGATAGGAAACCAACGTCCTTGTAGTAACACAAAAACTACGAGCACCATAACGATGCCGTTTTGGTGCTTTTACCTCATGGCACTGGACGAAAGAGTGTTTGTTTACCCATTCCGCCTTGACTGACTCAATAATTTCTTTATATTTTTTTTTAACAGTGAAGTTGTTTATGGCTAGGGTTACGTGGATTATTCGTGTGCGTCAACAGAAACTCCATTTTCCCTCCCAAAGTTAGCAAGAAAATTTACCCGCTAAATTTGGCGTGAAATTTATGACGTCAAGTGACCTCAACACCAATTCAGCTTCCCCGCTAAATTTTTTTAGCGGGAAAAATGACGTCACGACTTCGTGTCACGTCACCCATGAAGAAATTTAGCGGCAGGAGAAGAGGAGGGAAGCGCACCGCCCTCTCTTTGTCGCCGTTCCAAGCGCTT